CCCCCCACCCTCCTTTAACCCCCAGTACCCCCCAAATCCTTCCTTCCCCCCCCCCCCAGGAACCCCAAATCCTTCCTTTACCCCTAGGGACCCCCCTACACTCCTTTACCCCCCAAATCCCTCCTTTACTCCCCTGGGATTCCCAAATCTCTCCTTTACCACCCCGGGACCCCCCAGATCCCTCATTTACCCCCCCTGGAACCCCAAAATCCCTCCTTCCCCCCCAGCTGGCTGTGTGCATGTGGCTGCTGACCTACGTTGGAGCTGTCTTCAATGGCATCACCCTCCTCATCCTCGGTAAGAACCGGGCTCTGCCCCCACTTCCCCCTCAAAAAGACTCCCCCAAGTGTGTAATGTAGGAGGGCAATAATAACATTATGGGGGGTTCCTTCCCCCTTGGTGATACTGAACCCCCTTTTCCTCTCACAGCTGATATCTTGGCCTTCAGCCTCCCACCCCTCTATGAGAAGTACAAGGTGAGCCCCAAAGTGACCAAGGAACCCCCCAAAATACACCTGGAATGGCTTCAAAAAGAAAGGGGATGCCCCCAAAATGAAGGGGGACCTCGAAATAAGGGGGGGGGTACAATAGAACTGGGGGCTCCCCCCTCAAACTCTCCCCTCTTCCTCCCCAAAGGTGCAGATCGATCAATACATGGCCATCGCTCGCAGCCGTAGCAAGGACCTCATGGCCAAGTACGTGATGATGGGGCCCTCCCAAACTGTGCCCCCCGCCCTTTATCCCCATGGCCCCCACTATCTCCCAACCTCACCTCTCTCCTTTCCCCTTTCCCATAGGATCCAGGCGAAAGTCCCGGGCTTGGCCAAGAAAAAGCCGGAATAAATCCCCCCGGGGGGGAGATATTGGGGTACCCCCAGTTGGTGCCCCCCCCAAGCTCATTGCCCCCCCACCCCCCAAGCTCGTACAACCCCTCCGTATCTCACAGTGGCGTCCGTTTGTCCCCCCACCCCAGCACCCCCAAACCTTGGACTTGGGGCCTCTCTGTGGGGCTATTTGAGGGGGGGCCACACTCCAACCCCCACCGCCCCCCCCCCAACGCATCCCCCCCTTATTTTTTTAATGTTGATTAAGGTGAAATGTCTGTAACTGCTGTAAACGGGGGAGGGAGGGGGGCAAAGCCCTTCCCCCGCCCCCAAATCGCACTGCGCCCCCCCCTCCCCCCCAAACCTCCAAATCTATGGGGGGGGAGGGAATTGGGACCCTCCCCCAGAGCCGCCTGTGGGGACGTGGCATCAATAAAGCACCACGATGGGTGGTTGTGCCCCCCTCTTGTCACTGTGTGGGCCCAAATGTTCCCCCCCACCCACAGGTCAGTCCGTGTGGGGACGAGTTTATTATGGGATGCATGTACAAAAGGAACACATACACATAAATAGAGTGATGCTGGGGGAGGGGAGGGGCAGTGACACTGGGGGGGACACACACCCCCATAGGTGCCACTTTGTGGGGGGGTCTCAGTGCCACCTCCCCCCCCAGTGTCCCTGCCCCGGGCTCTCAGGTGCTGCAGGCCGGGGTGGCCCCTGGGTGCAGGGACAAGAGGGGGGGGCCCCGGTGGCCACAGCCCCCCCTTGCACCCCCTTCCTCTTCCTCAGCAGTGGCTCCTTCCTCCTGCTCAGGGCTGGGGGGCTGCAGTGCTGCGGACACAGCGCCTGTGGCCCCCCCACACCCCATTTACCACCGGTGACCCTATTGCTTCTCATGTCCCCATAGCTCCCGAGTGTCCCCATTGTCCCCATATCCCCACAGCTCCCACTGCCCTCATGTCCCCAACAACCCCAGTGTCCCCATAGTCACCTGTATTCCCATTGCCCTTGATGTCCCCATGTTATCCCCATTGTCCCTAGTGTCCCCCTTGTCCCCAGTTACCCCTGGTGCCCCCATATCCCCACAGCCCCCACTTCCCTCATGTTCCCAACACCCACAGTGTCCCCATAGTCACCTGTATTCCCCATTGCCCCTGATGTCCCCATTTATCCCCAGTGTCCCCATCAGCCCCAAGGTCTCCAGTGTCCCCCTTGCCCTCCCCGCGCTCTGACCCGCTGGCGCTCGGCGCTGCCGCAGGGCTCCGGGGTGCGCGGCCAGGACGTGGCGCCGGATGTCCCCGAGGTGCAGTGAGGGCAGGGCCCGGGCGCACAGGAGGCAACGCAGGCGCCTGCCCCCCGCCTCCAGGTCCAGGAGCAGCTCGGCCCGGAGCCACCCCCGGAGCGAGTCCCCGGTGCCCGCGGAGGGGACCCGGGCACCGCCGGCGGGGGCTTTGGAAGCGCTGGGGCGGGAGCGGGGGGCTGCGGGGATAGGGGCTGGTGCTGGGGACACAATGGGGACATCGTGGGGACACGTGGACGGCTTTGGGGACACCTTCGGGACGTGGTGGTTTGGACGGGGGGCACCGGGCTGGGACGCGTTGGGGGCTCCGTTGGCACGGAGTGGGGGGTTTAGGACCCAGCGCATCCCTTGGAGCGGGTTCAGGCGGGCCGGGGGCGGAGCTAAGACGGGGTGGGCGTGGCCGGTTCGTGCCGGGGTGGGGCTTGTCTTAAAGACGTACTAAAAGGGGGCGTGGTCTGGGTAAAAGGAGGTGGGGGCGTGGCCAAGCTGTAAGTGGGTCTGTACTAAAGGGGGCGCGGCTCAGATGGAAGGGGGTGTGACCCCACCTATGGGGAGGCGTGGCCTCTGCTAAAAAGGGCATGCAGCAGCTTGAGGGGGCGTGGCCACATTTAAAGGGAACGTGGCTCCACTTTAGGGTTCCCCCCATTTAAAAGGGGTGTGGTTCCACTTTGGGGTCCTTCCATTTAAAGGGGGTGTGACTCCACTTTAGGGTTTCCCCCTATTTAAAGGGGCCACGGCTCCACTGTAGGGTCCCCACATTTAAAGGGGCTGTGCCTCCACTTTGGGGTTCTCCCCATTTAAAGGAGCCATGACCACACTTAGGGGTCCACACTTCTAAAGGAGATGTGGCCACATTTATAGGGCCCCAGCTCCAGGGTCCCCCATCAGCGCTCCCCACATCTTAGGCTCCTGCCACAGCCCCCCATTACCTGTCCCAGCGCCTCGGGGGGGTCCCTCAGGATGGGGGTGAACCCCCAAATGTGCCTCCCAGGAGCGGAGCACGAGCTGCTTCTCGCGGGGTCCCCAGGCTCCGGAATAGGGATGCTTCTGCCGGATGTGGCGTTTGATGGTGCTGAGCTTGAGGGTGGCGAGGGCGCTGCCGCACACGAGGCAGAGCATCCCGTGCCGCGCCGCATTGAACTCCATCAGGTACTCGGCACGCCACCGCTCGTGGTAGTACCGGCGGTGATCCCGGCCCGGGATCCGGCTCCGACCCGGGCGCGAGGCTCGGGCGTCGCAGTGATCCAAGCTCCGGCGGCCTCCCCGCGGGCCCGGTGCTGGCGGGGAGGCTGCACAGGGCAGGAGGGAGAGGGATTTGGGGGTGTCTGTGGGGATGGAAGGGATGTGGGGCCTCAATGGATGGGGTGGGGAGGAGATTTTGGGGGGCTGCATGGACTCGTGGATGTCATGGATGGGGATCCCCAGGGAGGAGGAAACGTCTGAGAGTCCCTGGGGGTGTTTTGGGGGGATGCTGATGGGGGAGGTTTTGGGGTCTTCCAGGACAGCAAAGCCTTGGGGGTGTTGGGGGGGATTTGGGGGGGCTCTGGGGCTGGAAGGGTCTCGTGGGGTCTTGAAGGAGAAAGAGGGGCTCTTAAAGGGGCAGCGCACGTGAAGGGGCGGGGCTTGTCAAGGGGGATTTAAAAGGGGTGGGGCTTGTCAAGGGCGGGGCCCTTAAAGGGGCAGGGCGGCAGGGATGTGGATGGTTAAAGGCGAGGATGCCTTAAAGGGACAGCAGTACCTCAAAGGGACAGGAGCATCTTAAAGGGACACGGGTATCCCAAATTGGATGGGGCATCTTAAAGGGAGAGGAGCATCTTAAAATGACAGAAGCATCTTAAAGGGGCAGGAGCATCCTAAGGAGACTGGGGCATCTCAAATCGGATGGGGGTATTTAAAGTAGCACCTTAAAGTGAAAGGGGTATTCTAAAGACATCTTAAAGAGGCAGGGCATCCTAGATGATGACAAGGGCTGTCAAAGGGATGAAGACACCCCCAGGGCCGGGGCATGTCTTAAAGGGCCAGCATCGCTCCCATTGTGCATTAAGGGGTCTCCTTAAGGGGTCCGCACCCCCCTCTCCCCCCCACCCCATCTCACCTGGGGGGTCCGGGCGCGGGCCCGGGCCGGGGCCGGGGTGGGGGCTCGGGGGGTCCATGGCGGGGCCCGGGGCGGCAGCGGCGGCGGCGGGCAGGGGCCAACCGGGGTGGGGAAGCCGCCGTGGGGCCCCTGGGGCTCCTTTAAGGGCTCCTGGGTAAATTTAAAGGGGCCGCACGCCTTTCCCATCCCCCCCGCCCGCCCCCCCCCCCCCCCAATAAAACCGCCACTCCCCGGGGGGCTGTGGGGAAGGGGGATGAGCGATGAGTTGGAGTCCGGTCTCTGCTCACCCCCTCCCCAAAGAGCGTGGCCTCTATAGAAAGGATTTTAAGGGGGGGGGGGCCAGAAGGGAGTGGGGGGAGCCCCTGGATGCTCCCCCCCTGCAGCCCCCCTCCATCCCCACGCCGCCCTTCCCCGCAGCATCGCACGCGGTCCTTGGGGAGCCAAAGAACGGGGAAAAACACCGGAATTCCCGAACCCCCTCCGCGGACCCCCCCATTCCCCACTGGGGTCTCCAGTGAGAACGGGGAGGGGGGATTCGGCTCCGCTCGGGTTTTTCCGTCAGTGAGCGGGCAGCCCCGATGGCAGCCGAGGGGTGTTCGTGTCTTTACGGATCCACTCGGGGAAGGGCGGCGGAGGCGGAGCTCGGCTGTTTCCGCCGCTGTCAGCGGAAATTGCCGAAGGTGGCTTCGAGTCTTTGCGCGGGGCGGGGGGAGGCATCGGATGAGCCGACTGTCTCCGGAAAGAGCCGAAGAGCAGCAGGAGGCGTGTCGGGTGTTTCCGGCGCGGCGGCGGAAATGGCCGAGGGCCGGCGGCGGCGGCCATGTTGGGAGCCGCTGGGTGCTGCTGAGGAGGCGCCGGTGTGAGGCGGCCGCGCCGGGCGCACCCGCCGCCCGCTCCCCCCCTTCCCCCGTTCTCCGCTCCCGGTCCCTGCCCCGACCCCCCCCATGCCGCTGGCCTGGCCCCCCCCCGCTCCCTGAGCGCGGCCCGGGCTTCCCTTCCCTCTCCCCCCCCCCCCCCTCCCCGCACACCGCCTGCCGCGGCTTCCTTCTCCCTATCGCGATAGTCGCCGGCGGCTGTGGCGGGGGGGGGCTCGCCATGTCGAGCAGCGGTCGCAGCCCTCTGCCTACTGTCAACGAGAGAGACGCGGAGCAGGTACAGCCGGGGGTGGGCAGGGCCCCGGGGGGAGCGCGGTCCGGCGGGGCTGGGGCCGTTCCCGGGGGCGATGCGGGCCTGGGGCCGGGCTGTGAGGGGAAAAGCGGGGATCGAGGGGTCCGGGAGCCTTTTATGAGGGGAAAGCGGGCTCGAGGGAGGCGAAGGGTCCGTTTTGTGAGGGAAAAGTGGGGCTCGAAGGGGTCGGGGTCCGGTTTGTGAAGGGAAATGAGGGTCTGGGGGGCTCCGGGGTCTGTTTTGTGGGGTGTGAAGGGGCGAGGGGGGCTTTGGCTGAGGGGAAAGGGGCTCTGAGGGCGTTTTGTGAGGGGAAAGGGGGATCTGAGGGGCTCGGGGGTCTCCTTTGTGGGGGGCAGAGGGGGATTTGGGGTGGTTTTAGTGAAGGGCAGGGGGGGTCTGGGTGGGCCCGGGTCTGTTTTGTGAGGGTGAGGAGAGGGCTCTGAGGGGAGCCGAGTGATTCTGTGCGGTGAAAAGCGGGTTTGGATGGGAGCCGGGCTGTTTGCGAGGGGAAGGAGGGTCTGAGAGGGGGAAATAGGGGTCGGGGAGGGGGGCAGGGAGGGCTCTGAGGGGCCCCTGGGCCATTTGGTGAGGGGAAAAGGGGGTCCCGGGCTGTTTGCTGAGGAGAAAGGGGGTGGCTGAGGGGCTCTGGGCCGCCTTATGAGGGGAAAAGGGGCTGAAGGGGCCTGGGGGGTTTTCTGAGGGTAAATGGGGGCTTTGGGGGGGCCCTGGCGCCCTCCATGAGAGCCCAAAGCGGGGTCTAACGGTGCCCTGTGCCCCCTGCAAGGAGGGGGTGGGGGACAGCTCCTCACAGCCCCCCCCCCATGGCCCAGACCCCCATGAGGGATGTGGGGCCAGGGCTGCCCCTTGGGGGCTCCGCTGTGGGACCGGGGGTGCTTTGTGGTGTCCCTGAGGGGCAGAACAGAGGCACCCCCTCTGTTATGGGGGGGGGGCACAGGTTGCACCCCAAAGATGTGGGGCAGCTGGGGGGTGCCTGCCCCACATATTGCCCATAGCGGTGGGGTCCGGTGCGTGCTGTGGGGTTCGAGGTTTGGGTTTCACCGTTGTCACAGCCTCTGTGTGTGTCGTGTTCCCCCCCCCCCCCCGTGAGCGCTTCAGTGGCTGCGCGAGCGGGGTGTGGGGGTGGGAGCCCACCCCCTTCCCTGCTGTGCCCCCCCAAAACGGGCTGTGGGGGTGGCAGCGCTGCACAGCACAGGGGCTGGGGGGGGGGGGGAAGGGGCTTGGGGGAGGGTACCCCAAAGGGATGTGGGGGCATCGGCACCGCTATTGATAGAGGAGGGGTTCACCCTCAATGTCTGTTGGTGGGGGCAGTGAGCCCCAAATCCCTTTGGGGGGGCAGTTGGAGTGGGGTGTCCCCCCCTTGGGTTTGAAGCTTCTCATTTGGGGTGACCCCACTTATGGCTCGGGGGGGGTGGGTACAGCTTCCCCAGAGCTGCACGGCACCCCCAGTTTGGGGGGGGGACACCCCAAGTGGTGGTGAAGGACCCCGTTGTGATGCTGCATTGGGCTTGGGGGAGGATTTTATGGGTGCCCCCATCTACGAGGACAGAGGTGGTGCCCCCCTGGCCCCCCCCGTCCGCCCCCAGCTCCGTGGCCATCACCATGGTGTTGGGCCACCCCCTCCTTGCTTTGGGCCTTTTCCCTGTTTTTCCCTGCTGTTACATAAGGAACAAGAGGAATGATTTCTGGATGGGGAGGAATTGGGGAGGGGGCAGCAGCAAGGGGGGGGGGGGTGTCTGTGTCCGTCCCATCCCCCAACCAGAGCTGGAATTGGGGTGTCTTCCCCCAGCTCCCCCCGTGAGCTCCATCATGTACTATGGGCTGGGATGTGAGAGAGACCCAAAAATAACTGAGTTGTCTGACATTTAGCACCAAAGCTTCTCTAGCATCTCCGGGGGGGCACAGGGACCCCCATGAGCTGCTCCAGCACCTCTGGTGGGGGGACACAAGGACCCCCCAGGACCTGCTCCATCAGCTCTGGTGAGGGGGCACAGGGACCCCCCCCCCAAAGCTCCTCCAGTGGGGGCAACACAGGAACCACCCCCCGAGCTGCTACAGCACCTCCAGCTGGGGGGCACAGGGATCCCCATGAGCTGCTCCAGCACCTCCGGGGGGCATAGGGACACCCCTAAGGCAGCTCCAGCACCTCCTGGGGGGGGCACAGGCGCAACCCAACCCGGTGCTGGTGCCTGGTTACCGGCATCTCTTCCTGCTGGGATCTTTAGATCCAAAGGGTGACATCACCCTGGCCCCGGTGACATCACCCTGGCCCCAGTGACATCACTTACAGGCACAGTGATGTCACTCCTGGTTCCTGTGATGTCACCCAGGCACCCATGACGTCACCTCCCATCACAGTGACATTGCCCCTGACCCCTGTGTTGTCACTCCCAACCCCCGTGACATCACTTCCACCTCCAGTGACGTCACCCTGGGCCCTGTGATGTCACCCCAGCTCCAGTGACATCACCCCTGGACCCTGTGATGTCACCCCAACCCCAGTGACATCAGCTCCAGTGACGTCACTGTGACCCCTGTGATGTCACCCCAGCCCCTTTGACATCACCCCTGGCCACTGCGCCATCACCCCCCCCACCACTCCTTTGCCAATTCCCACCACTTTGCCTCCAGCTCCATCCTCTTCCTGCCCCAACGTGTCTCTTTCCCTTTTCCCACCCCATTTTCACCCCAAACCCCCCCCCAACCCCTGCTTCCCGCCCCATCCGGCGTCATTCCCAACCGGTCAAGCCGGTTCGGCGCTCCCGGCGCTCCGTGGGGAGCTGAACTCCCGGAGCTTCCGCCACGGCCCCTGGGCAGCGCCCGCACCGCCGCGGGCTCGGCCGCCTTGGGGTCGCCCACGGTGAGTCCCCCCATGGAGCCGGTTGGGACAGGACGGGACAGGGGGAAACTGAGGCCCTGGAGCGCCACGGCCCCCACCCGGGAATGGGGGGAACGGGTGCCAGCGCCGCCGCACGCCCCTGGCTCCGGCAGATGGTGAAGCGCTCTCCCCGCCCCGTTGCCACGGCAGATTTTTGGCACAAAACCCCCGTTTTCCTTCACTTTTTCCCAGCAGCCTCAAGCAAAGTGTTGGATCTGGGGGGGGAGGGGGAAAATCCCGCCCCCCCCCCCTTCAGCCCAGACCCCAGAACAGCCTCTTTTCCCCCAGATCCGGGTGCCCGGTTGTGCCATTGCCCGCTCTGGCCACCCCCCCTTACCCCTCCCTCCTGCAGGTTCCTTCCCAGGGAGGGGGGAGCACCCCAAGACTGTGCCCTCCCCCATCCCCAGCGAGGTCTGGGGGGGCTACGATGTCCCTCATCCCAAAGGGGGGGTTGGCTCCACTTCCTCACCCGCTCACGCGCTCCCGTTATCTCCGGTGTCACCGGAGTGGTGACAGCACGAGGGGGGGTGACACCGCTCGGCGCTGGCGCTTCCCTCCCCATGGGGGCACCCCCATAAAGTGCCCCTAAACCCGTGTTTACTGTGGGGGGTGCTTTTGGGTTGCAGCGTGGTTGAGGTTTGGGGGTTCCCCCTTGGTGGAGGTTTGGGCTCCCCACCTTGTTTTAGCCATGGGTTGAAGGTGCCGCCGTTCATTTTGGGGTGAAATGAGGGTGTTTTGAGGAGGGGGCAGCCATGTCTTTGTGTTCCCCCTTCTGAAGAAGGGGGTGAGACCCCATTGCCCGACCCCCCCTCCGTCGTCCCCCCAAAACCCCCCAAAGTCAGCCCGAAACCACGGCGCTTGCGTCAGGTATCAGGGGCGGCTCCCGGCCTGCCCGGGCGCGGCACATGGACACGGCATTCCCGGACTTTGCTCCTCCAGCCCCAGCACCACCGCCTCTGGAACCCCTTTGGGAATCGTACGGGGGGGGACACACCAAACCCCCCCCCCCCCCTTCCCAAGTTCATTGTCCCATCGGTGTCCCCGCAGCCCGGGGAGGGGAAGGGCGTCGGGAAGCCCAACATGCTGCGGGGCCGGAACTCGGGCAGCGCGGCAGAGGAGCAGCCCCACATTGGCAACTACCGGCTCCTCAAGACCATCGGCAAAGGCAACTTCGCCAAGGTCAAGCTGGCCCGGCACGTCCTCACCGGCAAGGAGGTGAGTGCCAGGGACAGCGCTGCTGCTGCCACCGTGGCACCGGGACCGGCGCCTGCGCCTCGGCCGCGAGTGGGGACAGCCCTGGGCTCGTGGTGCTCGCCTTTTGAGGGCCACCGCTGGGATGGGTTCGTGGTCCTTGGCCTGTGGGTGCCACCGCGGCGTGGGGACGGTTATGGGCTCCTGGTCCTCACCCTGTGAGTGCTGCCACAGGGATGGGCTCATGGTCCTTGTCCTGTGAGTGCCACCATAGTGAGGGGACAGCTCTGGGCTCCTGGTCCTTGGCCTGTGAGTGCCACCATGGGATGGGGATAGTTCAGGTGGTTCTCATCCTGTGGGGACAGCTCTGGGTGCTGTGAGTGCCGCTATGACACAGAGATGGGCTCCTGCTCCTCAGCAGTGAGTGTCACTGTGGTGTGGGGACAGCTGTGGGCTTCCAGTCCTTGCCCCATGAGTGCCACCACAGGGATTGGCTCGTGATCCTTGTCCTTTGAGTGCCACCACAGTGTGAGGACAGTTCGGGTTCCTAGTCCTTGTCCCATGGGTGCCACCACAGGGATGGGCTCATGATCCTTGTCCTGTGGGTGCCACTACTCGGTGGGAACACTTGTGGGCTCCTGGCCCTGAGTGCCACCGTGGTGCAGGGATAGCCCTTGCCCCGCAAGTGCCACCACAGTGTGGGGACAGTTCTGGGCTCCTGGTCCTTGTCCCATGGGTGCCACCACAGGGGTGGGCTCGTGATCCTTGTCTTGTGGGTGCTACCACATGTGGGGACAGCTCTGGGGCAATGCTGCTCCCCTGCCCCTCACCTCTCCAGCGCCAGCACAGTGTGGGGATGGCTGGGGATATCCCTGACACACACACCCCACACTTCCCCCCACCCAGGTTGCTGTGAAGATCATTGACAAGACGCAGCTCAACTCCTCCAGCCTACAGAAGGTCAGAGTGCGGGGCCTGGGGTAGAGGGGGCACAAGGGGGATATTGTGGCATCTCCCACCCCCTCATCCCCCCTTTTCCTCCCTGTTTACTCACAGCTCTTCCGGGAAGTGCGAATAATGAAGGTCCTGAACCACCCCAACATAGGTGAGCCGCCCGCTACCTGCGCACCAGCACTTCCTGTGTCCCCCCATCACACCCCACCGCCCTTGGGGGGGGTCTCCCCTTTCTTCAGCCCCACTTTGTCCCCTTTGCAGTGAAGCTCTTCGAGGTGATCGAGACGGAGAAGACGCTTTACCTGGTCATGGAGTACGCCAGTGGGGGTGAGCAGCAGGGGGGCAGCAGGCAGGGAACCGGCAGAGGGGGTGCAGCAGGCAGGGACCAGGCAGAGCTGCCTCTCACCCCCGTTGTGCTCCCCCCCAGGTGAGGTGTTTGACTACCTGGTAGCCCACGGACGCATGAAGGAGAAGGAAGCCCGGGCCAAGTTCCGACAGGTCAGGAGGGGAATGTGGGTGTGACACCCCCCCAGCAGGGTTTGGGGACCCCCCTGTGTCCCCAGGGGGCTGGGGATCCCCCCCCTGACACCCCCCTCTCCTGCAGATAGTGTCAGCCGTGCAGTACTGCCACCAGAAGTTCATTGTCCATAGGGACTTGAAGGTGAGGAGACCCCCACTTGCACCCCTTGACACCTCGGGATGTCCAGTAGCACCCAGGGTGCTCCTGACCCCAGGGTGGCATCTGGGTGTTCCTGGGACCCCCCCAGGGCAGCACCCAGACATGCCTGAGACCCCCATGGCTGCACCTACGTGTCCCTGGCACCTGCTGGGAGGTGCCAGCAGCACCCAAAACCCCCCTAACCCCCTTTTGGGTGCTCTCCTTCTGGGCCAGGCCGAGAACCTGCTGCTGGACGCCGACATGAACATCAAAATCGCTGATTTTGGCTTCAGCAACGAGTTCACGTTTGGGAACAAGCTGGACACGTTCTGTGGGTCCCCCCCGTACGCAGCCCCCGAGCTCTTCCAGGGCAAGAAGTACGACGGGCCTGAGGTGGACGTCTGGAGCCTGGGGGTCATCCTCTACACCCTGGTCAGTGGCTCCCTGCCCTTCGATGGGCAGAACCTGAAGGTAAGGCCCAGTTTTGGGGGTCCCGGGGGGATCCCTTGGGGGGGTTGTGGTGTTCCAATGGGTGTTTCCCACCTCAGGAGCTGCGGGAGCGGGTGCTGCGGGGCAAGTACAGGATCCCCTTCTACATGTCCACCGACTGTGAGAACCTGCTCAAGAAGTTCCTCATCCTTAATCCTACCAAAAGGGGCACCTTGGAGGTGAGGGGGGTGGTGGGGTGGGCAGGACAACCATGGGAGCACCCCCAGCAGGGTCCTGGGCACCTCCAAGAGCACCCCAAGACCCCCAGCATGGTGCAGGTGCATCCAACAGTATGGTCCTGGGCAACCTTGAGACCTCCAGGGCACCCCCAGCATGGTCTTGGGAACCCTCAACGTGGTGCTGGGACCCCCCAGAGTGGTCTTGCATGGTCCTGGACACCCATAGCACCAACCAGGGACCCCCGTGTGATCCTGGACACCTGTGGGACCCTCCAAGCACCCTCAGTGTGGTCCTGGGGACCCCCAACTTGATTCCAGCTACCTTGGACACCCCCAACCCCCCCATGTGATCCTGGTCACCCCCAAGAGCACTCGGGACCTTCTGGTCACCCCATGGTGGTTCTGGGACCCCCAAGCCCCCCCTTTGGTGTCCTGCCCCTCGCTTGCAGCAAATCATGAAGGACCGCTGGATGAACGTGGGCCACGAGGACGATGAGCTGAAGCCCTACATGGAACCTGTGCCAGACTACAAGGACCCCCGGAGGACAGGTAGGGACCCCCCCCACCGTGATGTTTTGAGGGGTAGGGGGTCCCCCATATGTGGGGGTCCCGTTGAGGCCTGTGTCCTCCCCCTCCCAGAGCTGATGGTGTCCATGGGGTACACGCGGGAGGAGATCCAGGAATCCTTGGTGGGGCAGAAGTACAACGAGGTGATGGCCACCTACCTGCTGCTGGACCACAAGAGCTCGGAGGTGCGGGGCCAGTGGGGACACCACAGGGGTGCAGGGGACATGGGGACAAGAGGGAGAGGTGACCCAGGGGAGAGGGGATGTGGGTGGGATGGAGCAGAGGGGGGACATGAGGAGGGACATGGGAATGACAAGGGACAAGGAGGGGACATGAGGGTGATGGGGACAGAGCAGGGGATGTGGAGGGGATCTGGGGACAAGGAACATGGGAATGACAGAACACGGACGGGAGCACAGTGAGAGCATGGATGGGATAGGGAGCAGAGGGGTTGACATGGGAATGACAAGGAACATGACAGGGCTGGGGGGACACGGGGACAATGAGGACAGAGGCACGAGGAGTATGGGGACATGGATGTGACAGGGAGCAGAGGGGCTGACATGGGAATGACAACATGATGGGGCTGAGGGGACACAGGGACAATGAGGACGGAGGCACGAGGAGTACGGGGACATGGATGTGACAGGGAGCACAGGGGCTGACACGGGAATGACAGCATGATGGGGCTGAGGGGACACAGGGACCATGTGGCACGAGGAGTGCGGGGACATGGATGTGCTGGAGCAGAGGGGCTGACACGGGAATAGCAAGGAACATGATGGGGCTGAGGGGACACAGGGACCATGAGGGAGGCATGAGGAGTGCGGGGACATGGATGTGCTGGAGCAGAGGGGCTGACATGGGAATGACAACATGATGGGGCTGAGGGGACATAGGGACCATGAGGCACGAGGAGTGCGGGGACATGGATGTGCTGGAGCAGAGGGGCTGACACAGGAATAGCAAGGAACATGATGGGGCTGAGGGGACACAGGGACCATGAGGGAGGCACGAGGAGTGCGGGGACATGGATGTGCTGGAGCAGAGGGGCTGACACAGGAATAGCAAGGAACATGACAGGGCTGAGGGGACACAGGGACCATGAGGCACGAGGAGTGCGGGGACATGGATGTGCTGGAGCAGAGGGGCTGACATGGGAATAGCAAGGAACATGACAGGGCTGAGGGGACACAGGGACCATGAGGCACGAGGAGTGTGGGGACATGGATGTGCTGGAGCAGAGGGGCTGACATGGGAATAGCAAGGAACATGACAGGGCTGAGGGGACACAGGGACCATGAGGCACGAGGAGTGTGGGGACATGGATGTGCTGGAGCAGAGGGGCTGACATGGGAATAGCAAGGAACATGACAGGGCTGAGGGGACACAGGGACCATGAGGCACGAGGAGTGTGGGGACATGGATGTGCTGGAGCAGAGGGGCTGACACAGGAATAGCAAGGAACATGACAGGGCTGAGGGGACACAGGGACCATGAGGCACGAGGAGTGCGGGGACATGGATGTGCTGGAGCAGAGGAGGGGGTGAGCCCCGTGGGGCCAACAAGGGAACATTGAGGGAGCAGTGGGGGGGGGGGGGGGGGGGTGTCACCACCCTGCCCGTGCCATCACGTCCCTGTCCCCATCCCCAGCTGTGCCCGGTGCCAGCGCGTCCCTGGCCCTGCACGTGTCAGGTCCCCATCCCAACGCTCCCTCGGTCCATGCTCCCCCATGTCCCCACGTGTCCCCCTGTGCCCCCCCCATGTCCCAGTGTACCCCCTTGTCCCCGCAGCTGGAGGAGAGCCTGTCCCTGAAGCCCCGGCCTGCCCCGGAGGTGGCCAACAGCTCGGGGCCGTCCCCGGCGCACAAGGTCCAGCGCAGCGTCTCTGCCAACCCCAAACGCCGCGTCAGCGACCAGGGTGAGCCCCGCCACGGGGTGAGGGGGGGGACAAGGGGGGTACCCCCATCCCATGGTGGAAAGGGGGGCTCCCAGGTATGGATCCCTTGGGAGAAGGGGGTCCTGGAGGTGCAGAGATGGGAGGTCCCTATGGGGTGGGGAAGCGCACATCCCTGAGGGTTGGGGTGGGGGTGAGGCGGGAGGTCCAAGTGGGGTGATGTCCCCATGGGCCCCCCCCTCATTTTACCTTCCTCCTCCCCCAGCCGGCCTCTCCATCCCCACCTCGGCCTCCTACTCCAAGAAGACGCAGGCGGCCAACGCGGAGAACAAGAGGGGGGGGACAGAGGAGGAGGGGGGGCGCCGGGCGGGCAGCACAGCCAAGGTGCCCCCCAGCCCCTTGCCCGGCCTGGAGCGAGCCAAGGGCACCCCATCACCCTCTACGGTCAGTACGGGGGGGGGCACCCATGTGTGGCACCGGGTGGGGTGCGGGGGGAGAATCCTTTGTGTGATGGGGCCGCACCCCTGCAGAGTGCCCTGGTTCCCATGAGGGACCCCAAACACCCAAGTCCTCCATTGGAGGGGGGGTCCCCATACCACCCCCTCCCCCCTTTTCATGTCTCCATCATGTGACCCTCACCATGTCCATCCCCCCCCAACAGAACAGCGTCCTCTCCACTGGCACCACACGGAGCCGGAATTCGCCACTACTGGATCGAGCCAGCCTGGGCCAGAGCTCGCTGCAGAACGGCAAGGACAGGTACAGACCCCCCCCGCACCCCAAACCCTCCCGACCCCCACACCCCATCCCACCCCCAGCCCCCGCTTTTCTCTCCTAGCCTCCCCACGCCGGGCTGCCGGCCCTCACCCGCCGCCCCCCCGGCCCCCGGCGCCCCCCCCCGCGCCCGCCAGCACCCGAAAGCCACCGACGCCAACTGCGACCCCCCCCGGCCCAGGCAAGGCCCCCCTCCCACCTCCTTTGTCCTATGGGGGGGTCACCCTCTAGGGGGTTTTGGGGTGTTGTGGGGTGGCAGTGGTTCCCTCGGGTGCTGTGGGGCACCTGCATGTCCCCAGGGTGCTGTGGGGTGCCAGCATGTCTCTAGGGTGCTATTGGGTGCTGGCATGGCCTCTGGCTGCTGCTGGGAGCAGTGGGGTACTGTGTGTCCTTGACAGGTCCCCAGGCGGCTGTGGGGTGCCAGCACATTCCCAGTATGCTGTCAGGGGTCCCTGGGGTGCAGTGGGGTGTCCTTGAGATTCAGTGAGATGCTACGGGGTGCAGTGGTGTGAACCCGGGGTGCTGGTGTGGCCGTAGGGTGCTATGGGGTTCTGTGGGGTGCTCGTGTCCTTGGGGTGCTGCTGTGTGCTATGGGGTTCAGTGGGTGTCCCTGGGGTGCACTGGGGTGCTGGTGTGTGCTATGGGGTTCAGCAGGTGTCCCTTGGGGTGCAGTGGGGTGGTGGTGTGTGCTACGGGGTTCAGTGGATGTCCCTGGGGTGCAGTGGGGTGCTTGTGTGTGCTATGGGGTTCAGCGGGTGTCTCTGGGGTGCTTGTGTGTGCTATGGGGTTCAGCGGGTGTCCCTGGGGTGCTGGTGTGTGCTGTGGGGTTCAGCGGGTGTCCCTGGGGTGCTGGTGTGTGCTGTGGGGTTCAGCGGGTGTCTCTGGGGTGCTTGTGTGTGCTATGGGGTTCAGCGGGTGTCCCTGGGGTGCTGGTGTGTGCTGTGGGGTTCAGCGGGTGTCCCTGGGGTGCGGTGGGGTGCTGGTGCGTGCTGTGGGGTGCTGTGTGTTGCCAACCCCTCCCTGCTACATGTTGGGGTCCCCGGGCTGCCGTGTTGCTCCCCTTGCCCCCCATTAACCCCCTTCCCTTGCCCGCAGCGCCCCCGGGCGGGTCCCGGCCGCCTCCCCCTCTGCGCACAACGTGAGCCAGGCCGGGGGGGAGCGGCCCAGCTTCCCGCGGGGGGTCTCGAGCCGCAGCACGTTCCACGCGGGGCAGCTGCGGGGCCGCGAGCAGCCGGGCCTGCCCTACGCGCTGCCCCCCGCGCCCCCCGGCCTCGGGCCCCCCCCATCGCCCTCCGGAGCCAGCCAGGGCCGGCGCGGCCCCCCCGGCTCCAGCCTCTTCAGCAAATTCACCTCCAAGTTCGTGCGGAGGTGAGCACCTGGGGGTGGGAGCGATGGGGGCAGCCCCGTGTGTGTCCCCCCCGTGTGTGGCTCCTCTGCCTGTGACCCCCGGGCTGCACACGTGGACCCCTGCGGGCCCTCTCTGTGCGTGTGTCCCCTGCCCCGTGTCCCCTTGTGCCTCCAGGGCTCCTCTGTGCATTCCCTTGTCCTCATGTGCGTCCGCTCCATGTGTGTCACCGGACACGGCACCCTGGGGACCCTCCGTGTCCCTTAAGGGGTCCTCTGTGTCCCTCTATCACCCGTCCAGGGCCCCTCTCATGTCCCCCCCCCGGGGATGCTCTGTGTCCTCTCCATGTGTTCCCTTGTCCCCATGTGTGTCCCTTCCGTGTCCCTGCCCTGCCCCAGGGGTCTTCTGTGTCCCCTCTGTATGTCCCTCGGGGGGGGGGGGGGTCTCTGTGTGTCCCCATGCTCCTGCATGTGTGGCCCCCCCCAGGATTCTTCCATGTCCCTTGTGTTCTCCCCAATCCCCTCCTATCACCCCACTGTGTATTCCCCCCCCATGTCCCCTCCTCCCACCCCTTTGGGGACGCCCCCCCCCCCCATGTCCCCTCCTGTTCCTGGGTCACCCCATAAAGCCAGGGAGGTGACAGCTTGGGGTTGTGGTGGGGATTCATCCCAGCTTCTCCTGCTGCCCCCTTCTATTTGGGGTGGAGGGGGGGTGCTGAAATGAGGGTGGGGGGGTGACATCCAGATTGGAGGGGTCCCTCCCCTCTTCCCTCCCTTCCCCCCCCCCCCCCCAACGTCGCCCTTCTCTTCTGTTTGTCGTTGTAGAAATCTGTCTTTCAGGTTTGCCAGAAGGTAGGGTGCTGGGTGCTGGTGTCCCTGTGGGTGCTGGTGTCCCCTGGGTGCTGGTGTCCCTTGGGTGCTGGTGTCCCTGGGTGCTGGGTGCCACCCCCCCGCATGTCCCCCAAGCCCCCCCATTGTCACTGCACGGCCCCGCATGGCCCCGGCCCCGCTCGGCTGCTGCTGTTGTGTCCCTGTGTGTGTGTCCGTGTGTGTCCCCCTTGTCCCATCCCCTGTCCCCACCCCCGTGCTGTCTGGGTGCTGGGTGGGGGGGAGCTGCTCCCATTCCCTCCCCCCATCCCCCCCCTCATTGATTTCACCTCCCCCAAAATTCTTGTTTCTCGAGGAACCCGCACGAGCCCGAGAGCAAGGACCGGGTGGAGACACTGAGGTGAGCGGGGGGAGGACGTTGAGGACACCCACAGCACCTCCATAGTGCTACTGGTGCCATCCATGGGGCACCCAGGACCTCCGTAGTGCCCCTGGTGATGTCTGTGGGGCCCTTGTGCCACCCAGGGGTTTCCATAGTGCTCCTGGTGGCATCCATGAGCCACCCAAGGCCTCTGTACTGTTCCCAGTGACGTCTTTTGGGTCCCCAACACCTCCATACTGGTCCTGGTGTCTGTGGGGTCCTTGTGCCACCCAAGGAGTTCCAGTCCCTGACTCCAGGGAGTCACGGTGACACCCAGGATCCTCCATACTGCTCCTGGTGCCATCCGTGGGCCACCCCATTGATCCTGATGCCGTTGCCAGGCTCCACCACCCCCCTGATCCCATTGTCCCCCCCCTCGCAGACCCTCGGTGGCTCCGGACAAGGACCCGCGGGACGGCGCCAGCCGCGACGTCAAGCCCCGTTCCTTGCGCTTCACGTGGAGCATGAAGACCACGAGTTCCCTGGAGCCCGGCGAGATGCTGCGGGAGATCCGGAAGGTTCTGGATGCCAACAGCTGCCGCTGCGAGCCCCAGGAGCGCTTCGTGCTGCTCTGTGCCCACGGTGCCCCCGGCCACGACTCCTTCGTGCAGTGGGAGATGGAGGTTTGCAAACTCCCGCGGCTTTCCCTCAACGGCGTCCGCTTCAAGCGGATCGCCGGAACCTCCATGGCCTTCAAGAACATCGCCTCCAAAGTGGCCAATGAGCTCAAGCTCTGAGCCCCCCCGAGGGCGGACACGGCAACTGGTGTCAAGCACCATCGACCAGCGGCAGCAGGCGGCAACCGGTGTCAACTGGCATCGACCAACGGCAACTGGTGTCACCCACCCCTCGCCTTGGGGATGACGCCATGGCTCGAGGAGGAAGGGAACCTCCAAGGGACCTCTGGGGCCGTTCTGGATGGATTTTGGGGACCTCTGGGGCCGTTGGGGCATGGGATGGGGCCATCCCGAGCGCTGGGGGTGGCTCCAGGGGGCCTCCTTGGTGGTCCAGGGACCTCCTCGAGCTCATCCCAGGTGGCCGAGGCACCGCTGGGGACATTGTGACATAGGACGGGGCTACCTGGGGACTTGTGGGGACATCCTCAAGAGACCTCTGGGGCGTTGTGGGTTTTGGTGGCTGAGACCCCTAAGGGGCCACCCCCGTGGGCATCCCTGGGGGCCCGGGGACATCTCGCATGGTCCAGGGCCTCGTGGGGGTACCTTTGGTGGCCCAGGGCCATGGGGGGGATCCTGGTGGCCCAAGGCCAAGGGGGAGTGCTCTGAGGTCACGTGGGGACAACCCAGAGTCTCCCTGTCTCCAGGTGACCCCACGGTGGCCTTGGGGGGTCCTGCCCTTCCCTCTGCACTCAGGAAGGCCCCTGGGGGGGGGGGTGGGGTGGGGTGTGATCACGTGACCTGCTGTAGCCCCGCCCCCCTCCGCAGGCCCTGCCCCTGCCCGGCCCTGGGGGGGGCAGGTTCTAGAGTAAAACCTTTCCAGAAAGATCCTTGACTCTGAGTGATGCCACCAGTATGGACCAGTACAAACAAGGGCTCCCGGTACTGGCCCAATACAAACCAGTGCTTCCGGTGTAGATCAGTACGGAACAACGCTCCCATGTTGGACAAAGACTCCCAGTACAAGCCAGCACTGCCACTGCAACCCAGTGCTCCCAGTTCATCCCAGTCCCCTCCCAGTGTTCCCAGTGCTCCGGCTCTAGTAAAATACCTTTATTGCAAACACACGCTGGGGGTCCCCCCGCCCAGCAGGGGGCGCTCAGCGGGGCGGGGCGTGCCCGGCAGCGGGGGGGCGTGGTCTGGTGGCGGGGGCGTGGCCAGGCCGGAGCAGAGGGGGCGGGGCCCGGCCCAGCGGGAGCCCCGGCGGGGGGGGAGGGGCCGGGCGGAGGAGGGGAGGGGGGGGCTGCGGGGGGCGCGAGGGGGACGGCGGAGGGGGCGGGGCCGGGCGAGAGACCCCGGTGATCTGCACCTGCGGGAGAGAGGCGGGGTCAGGCGGGGGCAGGACGTGATTGGCCCCCGCTGGGGTGGGCGGGGACGGGAGCGGGGTAGGGAGCGAATGGGACAGAGCCTGGGGGAGGAGCCAAGTCACAGTGGGCGGGAAAGGAGCGAAAGGGGGCGTGGTCCCCATTGGGCGGGGCTTGTCCCTGTTGGGGGTGAGCCGGCGCAGAGCCACGGATGGGGCAGAGGCGGGGCCATCATCTGAGGGGGCGTGGCCAGGACTGCACCCCGCTCCCCCCACAACCCTCCCCCTCTCACCTCTTCCTCCTCCTCCTCCTCCTCCTGCTGCTGCCGCCGCTGCCCCTGCAGGGGGGGCCCCGCGGGGGGCTCGTCCCTGTCCCCCCCACGGAGCTCCCGCAGCAGCCGCGTGAGGCCCAAGCGGCGCCGGGTGCCCCCCACGAAGCTCCGGACCTGGGCCGGGGTCTTGTTCCCCAGGACCCCCGCCACTGCCGGGAAGTCGCGGCCGTAGCGGCGCAGGGCTGGGGGGGGGGGGGGAGCAGTGGGTCAGGGTGGTAAAAGGGGGCTCAAGGGGGTCAATGAGGGATGGGGGGGGTCCGTTAGGACAAGGGGGTCAATGAGATTCATGCATCAAGGAGGGTCTCACCCTGCACCACCAGGAGCTGCTCGTCCATGGTCCAGCGGGAGCTGAACTTGCCAGTGCCCTGCGGGGACAGGGGGAGTGTGGGGTGATGTGGGGCAGGACCGAGGGGACACCGTGGAGCACATGGGGACACCCAGGCACCCCCAGGCCCACCTCGGGTGGGCGCAGCCCCTCCACGCCGCCCTCCAACGCCTGCTTGAGGCCGCTGTTGATCTGCTTGATCCGTTGCACCTATGGGGGGGGGAACGGACACACACAAACCCCAGGAGTCACCCCCAGCTTAGGGGGCACCCCCTGGATCCCGGGGGGGGGTCAGGTCCGTACCTGCCGCTTGAGGGACACGAGCTGGCAGTCGAGCTGGCGCAGGCCCGCGGCGCCCAGCTCGGGGTTGGAGGTGACGCCGGCCACGGCCTCGCGGCTCAAGTGCATCCCGCGGGGGGGGCGGCGGCGGTGCCGGGGGGGGAGGTGGTGCCGGTACTGAGCCTCCTTCCGGGTGCAGGGTTTGGGGTACGGTGGCTGCAATGGAGGACGTGGGGGTTCAACGGGGGACACTGGGACACCCCCGAACCCCTTGGGACCCATTGTTCCCCCCCCCGCCGCCTTCAAACCTCTTTTTTGGGGTCCACTGCCTCCATGTCCCCATCGAGAGCGGGGTGGGGGTCGTCGGTCTCGTCGTTGCTATGGAAATGAGGCCAAAAAGGGGGGTTTGGGGGGACTGGGGACGGGTTTTGGGTGCTGGGGGTGGATTTTAGGGTTGGTTTTGGGTGCTGGGGGAGGGGGGGGTACCTGTCTTCCCGGTCCTTGCGCCCCAGCAGCCTCCGGGCCTGTCTGTCCATGACGCTGGTTCGGGAGCGGGTCTTCTTCCAGGAGTAATAATACTTGACCAGGCTCGGGATGAGCTTGTCGGGAAGCTGGGAATGGGCAACGGGATAGGGGGACGTGGGGGGGGGTGGGGGGTGAGTTTTGGGGGGGTTGGGGTGAAGAAGGGGAGGGGAAGGGCTTGGAATGGGGGGAGCCCCATGGGAAAGGGGGAGGAAGCCACCTGAAATCGAGGGGTGGGTTTGGAAGATGGGGGGACCCCATAAATTACAGAGGAGAAATGGGGGAACCCTCTTAAATGGAGAAAAAGGGGTAAAAATAGGGGGCGAGCCCATAAATAAAGAGAGGGGAGATGGATGGAACAGGAAATATGGGGGGGATAGAAATGGGGGTGAATCCTCTAAAAACAGAGGGGGGGAAATGTGGACCCCTGGAATTGGGGGAGGGGCACCTACAGAAATGGGGGGGGCACCACTTGGGGCAGGGCCAGGGGGTGGCATGTACCATCTGCTGGGGGGGGGGGGCAGGGGATGGTATTTACCCCATGGGTGGCATTTACCATCCGCTATGGGGGTGGTTCTAAGGTTGGCAGGTACCATGTCCTAATGGGGGGGCAAGGGGTGGCACCCCCTATGGGGGGGTGAGGGTGGCACCTACCACCCCTAAAGGGATGGGGAATTGGGGCGGCAAGAACGACCTCAACCCCATGGGGGGTGGGGGGGCCCGGTGGGGTCCCATAGGGGTAGTGACCCCCAGCCCAGAGCCATGGGGATGGATCCAAACCCCGTGTCCTCCCGTAGGAAGGGAGGTGTGGGTTTGGGGGGTGAATGGGGAGGGTTGGGGTGAATGGGGGGGTCTTGGGGTGAACGGGGGTGTTGGAGGTCCCTCACCATTTGCTGGATGCGGGCAAAGCTCTTGCCATGGAAGCTGAAGGCCTGCTCGAAGAGCACCTTGTCCTCCACGGTCCACTCGTCCGGGAAGGGGGTGAAGTTGGCCAGGTCAGCCAGGGACTTCTCCACATCGTGCTTGTGCCACAGCAGCATTCCCAGAGCCTGGAAAAGGCCGGGGGGAAGGGGGGTCAGGAAAGGGTTGGGGGCAGCACCCTGGGGGGGTTTGTGTGGTTTGGGGGGGGGCAGATGTACCTGCTCGATGTTGTAGCCGTGTTTGTCCTTGGCCATGGCGATGTATTTGTCCACTGAGGGGTTAACGGGGGGGTGAAAGAGGGATTAAAGGGGGCGTTAGGGGGTTATGGGGGGGGTCATGGGGAAATAGGGGAGGTAAAGAGGGTTTTGGGTGGGTAAATGTGGGGGAAGGGGGGCTAAGGGTGGGGGGAAAGGCGGTTTTGGGGGTTATAGGGGGATTTATGGGAGGTTTTGGGGGGTTTATGGGGGGCTTACAGAGGTAAAGGGGGCGTTCAGTGGGTAAATGAAGTGGTTGGGAGGGTGAAAGGGAGGTTGGGAGGGGGCAAAGAGGGAGTTGGTGGTAAAGGGGGGGTCAGGGGGTGGGAAACGTCCCATAACCGCCCCCGCCCCCCCCCTGCCGCCGAGGAACCTCCGGATTTGCTCTGGGAGGGGGCTCACGTTTGGCATCAGAGACGCAGTGGTTGGGGGCCCACACCAGCATCCCCTTCAGCTCCTTGTTGCTGTAGCGAGCCGGGCTCTCTGGGGATGGGGGGGGGGACAAGGTCAGAAACGGGGACACCCCCCCCCCCACCTTGTACCCCCATAACCCCCCCTCCCCCGATGGTCCCTACCTGGTTTGCAGTCAGGAATCACCGCTTGGTAGTCAGCCCCGACCCGGATCATGCTGTCTGGGGAGGGGGGGGAGAGGGAAAGGGGGGAAATATGGGGGTTAATGGGAGGGAACAGGGGTCCGGGGGGGGATTCAGGGTTAAAGGAGGGTCACCCTCACCCCCCCCCCAAAGATCTGGGGGTCCCAGCACTGGGTCCCCTCCCCCCCCAGCAAACAAAGGGGGTGGCCGGCGCACACGCGGGCGCTGGGGACAATGGGGCCGGGGCTTTGTTCCCCCCCATATCCCTATAAGTGGGGGGGACCGGGGGGGGGCGTGACACGGTGACACGGACATCATCATCCCCCCCCCCATGCACACACGTGTGCTCCTGCACACGCGTGGGGCGTGTTCGGGGGGGGCTGTTTGGGGGGGTCCAAGCGCGTCCATGGGGGGGGGCACTCACCGTGGCTGCGCTCGTCCGCGCTGTCCTCGTCCTCGGAGGGGGGGGCGCCGCCGGGCACGGCTCTGGCGCGGCTCCGGGACAGGATTCCCGAGGGATTCTCCATCACCGACGGCATCGCCTGCGGAGCACGGGGGGGGGGGGGTCGGGTGAACCCCCCCCATCAATGGTGCCCCATAAGGGAGGGGGGGGGGCGCTCAGCCCTGCTGCCCCACAGCAAACTTGAGCTTAGGCTGCGCTATGGGGAGGGGGGGGGATGAGGGGGGTCAGCCAGGACCCCAGAAAGGAGGAATTTCACCCCAAAATCAAAGGGGGGGGATAAGGGGGGGGCAGGGGGAGGGGGGCTTGGGGGGGGGGGGGTCTCGGCACCCACCGGCACCCACACAAAGCGCCGCCGGCTGCTCCCGCCGCCTGATGGTGCCAAAGTAGTTCCAGCTCCCCCGGCCTCAGCACAACCCCCCCCTCCCGCCCCCTGCGTACCCCTCCGCCGGCGGCACGGGGGGGGGTTGGGGGGCCCGGCCCCACACAGAGCCCACGGTGGGGCTGGGACCCATAGATGGGGGGGGGGGGGCGCAGGGGCTGTGTAACCCACCACCCCCCCCACCACCCCCCAGAGCGTGGCTGATGGGAACAAAGGGCTGGGGGGGATAAAGCGGCTGCTGTGGGGCTGGGTAAGGACTATGGAGCTTAGGGCTCTGGGGCTGCTGTAGGGCTCATATGGGGCTGCTGCGGGGCTTTGGGGTGTCCTGCTATGGGGATTCCCCCCCCCACTCCCTGCCTCACAGCTCCCTGTCACCCCCTGCTTCACACCCACACCTATGGGGGGTCCTGGGGGTGCAGCAGTGTTGGGGGATGGGCTATGGGGCAGGCTATGGGGCTAGCTGGGAGCTGGGTATGGACTATGGGACTTAGAACTATGGGGCTGCTGTGGGGCAGGGCTCAGGGGTTGGCTGGGGGCCATGGGGTGGCACGAGGGCTCTTAGGCACGGCTGTGGGGACAGGCTATGGGGCAGACTGAGGTCTGTGCGGCAGGGTCAGTTATGGGGCAGGGTTATGGGGCAGTCCAAGGGCTGCGGGGCAGGGTAATGGGGCAAACCAAGGGCTGTGGGGCCAGATGTGGGATAGGGCTATGGAGTCAAGCAGTGGGGTGGGCTGAGGGCTGTCAGGAATGGCCATGGGGCCAAACTATGGGACAGCCTGAGGGCTGTGGGGCAGGGTTATGGGGCGGGCCCAGGGCTTTGCAGCCAGACTGTGGTGTAGGGACACAGAGCAGGGTTATGGGGCAGGCCAGTGTTCTTGGGCCTGTACTATGGGGCCATGCTGTGGGGCAGGGTTACGGGCTGCAGGGCAGGCTGAGGGCTGTGGGTCCGGGCTATAGGGCAGGCTGTGGCCCATGAGTCCATGCTATGGGGCAGGGTTATAAGGTGGAGTTATAGGCTGTGATCCTGGTCTATGGGGGAAGCCATGGGTCTGGGCTATGGGGCAGGCTGAGGGCTGTGGGTCCAGGCTATGGGGCATGTTTATGGGTCATGGCCCGCTCCATGGGGCAGGTTTACGGGTCATGGCCCGCTCCATGGGGCAGGTTTACGGGTCATGGCCCGCTCTATGGGGCAGGTTTACGGGTCATGGCCCGCTCCATGGGGCAGGTTTACGGGTCATGGCCCGCTCCATGGGGCAGGTTTACGGGTCATGGCCCGCTCCATGGGGCAGGTTTACGGGTCATGGCCCGCACTATGGGGCAGGTTTACGGGTCATGGCCCGCTCTATGGGGCAAGTTTACAGGTCATGGCCTGCACTATGGGGCAGGTTTACGGGTCATGGCCTGCTCTATGGGGCAGAGCTATGGGGCAGACCTGTCCGCCGCCTCCCCTCCATGGCGCCTCTCCCCTCAGCTCCCCACAGCCCCGCCCCCTCGTCCCTCTCAGCCAATCAGCTCCGAGCTGCCTTCGCGCCCAAAGGCGCCTCCACGCGCCGGCTCCCCCTGCCCTCCACTGCGCACGCGCGGCCCCTCGCTCCGCCTCCTCTCTCACTCCGACACAACGCGCATGCGCATAACGGCGCTCTTCCACCATCGCCCCCCCCCCCCCCCCCCCCCCTATATATAGGGCGCGCTCCCGCGCGCGTCCCCTCAGTCTGCTCCGCGCCCCCGCCGCGAGAGGAGCCGCGCTCCGCAGCCATGGGGGTGAGGGAGGCCTCGGCCCTTCCGGGGGGGGGGCTCGGGCTCCTGGGGGTCTCTCTGAGGCCTTGGGGGGGGGATCTGGGGCTTTGTGAGGCCGCTGGGGCCTCCCCTGCGGGTCCTTGGGGGTTCGGGCGCTCCTGGGGGGGGGGGGTTCCCGTGAGGAGATTGAGGACCCTCGGAGGGGGTTGGGGGGCTCCTGCGTGGAGGTTTGGGAGCTTGCGTGGGGATTTGGGGCTCTTCGGGAGCGTCTGAGGGCATGTGGGGCCTTTCAAAGGGTCTGCGGGCTCCTGTGTGGAGAGGGAGACTGTCTGAGGTGATTTGGGCTCATCTGAGGGCTTTTGGGGCCACTTCGAGTTGTTTTGGGACCCTTCAAGGGCTCCCGTGAGGGAATGTGGGACCCTTCTAAGGGGTTTGGGATTGCAAGCACCTTCGTTTGCCTTTGGAGCCCCTATAGGTGTGCTTGGGGGACACATACCCTGTGTGCCCCCCCCCCAGCCCTTCTTTTCCCTGTGAAACCCTCACTTTTGGGGCTCCTGATCTTGGTTGTGCCAGGGGCAGAGCTCAGGAATCCCCAGACCTGCTGCAGTGCCCCATAGGTGTGGGACATGCACCCAGTTTGGAGGGATCCCACAGCATTAGGGGCTTCCCCCCTTCATTTTGGGGTAAAACCCCCATCTTTGGTTCATTTGGGGGGACAAACTCCTTAAGCTGAAGAGAAACACTTAAAAACATGAACTTTATGCAGATGCCATCTCATTGAGCATTAAACCACCCAAGATTTTGAGGCAAAACCCTGCTCATTCAGTTATGTTAGTGCTAAACAGATGGTTCAACAACACCCCCCCAATACACTCATCAAACCGCTGTTTTTTAACCCAAAATCACTTCTATTCCGCAGATTTTAGGGCAGACTCTGCAACTTGCTCGGTTTTCTGTGCCTGGGCTTTAATTACTGTGAATTCCCAGATGGATCTTTGGGGGGGGGGGGGAGGGCGAGAGGGGTGTTTTTGTTAAACTAGCCCCAAATTGAGTGAAATTCCCTGGGTTTTTTTCCCCAGAGGAAATCCAGCAAAGCCAAGGAGAAGAAGCAGAAGCGCCTGGAGGAGCGGGCGGCCATGGCCGCTGTGTGCGCTAAGGTGGAAGCTGCCAACAAAGTGAGTGTCCCGGGGGTGGAAATGGGGTGAGACCCCCCCACGTTGGTGCAAACCCCAATGCTCTGTGTGTGTGTGTGTGTCCCGGGTTTGGGTTCTCTTTGGTTCCCTTCCAGCTCCAGGATCCCCTTGAAGCTTTCCCAGTGTTCAAGAAGTACGACCGCAACGGGTAAGTGTTGGTGCCCCCGACATTCCCGGGCTGTTCCCGGGGTATTCCCGGTGCCGACGCTGTTTTCCACCCGGCATCTTCCATAGTTTGAACGTCGCCATCGAGTGCAAACGTGTCTCCGGGCTGGAACCCGCCACCCTGGAGTGGGCCTTTGAGCTGACCAAGGCCAACATGCAGACACTGTGAGTCCCATCCCAAGGGAAAGAAGGGATTTGTGCCCCCAAATCCCACGGGAGCTGCTGGGATTTCGGGGGTCTCTGCTCCCAAATCATGGCTCTGAAGGGGGTGGCTTTGGAGCTTGGTTTTGCGCTAAACTTGTGGTGTTGGTTTATTTCTGCGCAAAATTGGTGGGGTTTAGGTCTGCAGACCCAGAATTGTCAGAGCTTGGTTTTAATGCCCCAAAATTGGGGACCCAAATTAATTTGGGTTCAGGCTTTGCCCCATAATAAGTGGTTTAGGGTGTTCTAGAGCCGCAGGACGCTGAGGTTCAGGTTTTATCCCCCTACATTTGGGGTCTTTTAGGACTTCAAAATCACTGGGGTTTGGGTTTAACAACTCCAGATTGGGGGAATTTAGGGCCTCAAATTGATAGAATTTGGGTTTAGTACCCCCAAAATGGGTGGTTCTGTGTCCCAAAACTGTTGTGGTTTGGCTTTTGCCCCCCAAAACTTATTTGGGAGGTTCTAGGGCCACAAAATTACTGGGATTTGGCTTTTTTTCCCCTAAATCAGTTGGGATTTGGGGTTTTTCTGCACCTCGTGGTTGTCTTTGACTCAGATCCTGCTTTTTCCTTCTAATCCAGGTATGAGCAGAGCGAGTGGGGCTGGAAGGAGCGGGAGAAGCGGGAGGAACTGCGGGATGAGCGGGCCTGGTACCTCATTGCCCGCGAGGCCGGGGCCGGCCCCATTGCCTTCTCCCACTTCCGCTTCGATGTCGAGTGTGGCGACGAGGTCCTTTACTGGTGAGCCCCAAAATGGGGTGAACCCGTCCCAAAACTGGGGTGAACCCCCCAGAATTGGCGGGAGCCACCCCTGGAATGGGATGACCCCGTCAAAACCAGAGTGGAACCTGCTAAAAGCGGAGTTAACCACCCGCAGAATGAGATGAACCCTCCAAAATTGGGGCAAACTACCCCAAAACTGGGGTGAAATCCCCTCAAAAGTTGGATGAAACCCCCAAATCAGAGTGAACCACCCCAGGATGGGATGAAACACACACACAAAAAAAAAAGGGGGTGAAATGGGCAATGAAAATGAAAAGATGGGATGAACCCTCCCAAAATGGGATGAAAGCTCCCCAAAACCAGAAAGACCTCCCTCTAAAAGGAGGATGAAACCCACCTAAATGGGGTGAGCCCCCTGAAAATGAAGTGAACTCAAAAACAGTCCATGTCGTCCGTGTCCCCCCCCCCGCATGGGGTGAAACCCTCCAAACCAGATGACCCCCCCAAAACTGGCATGAAACCTCCCTAAACAGGGTAAAAAGCCCCCAAAAGTGTGGTGAACCCCCCAGAATGGGATGAACCCCTCAAACACTGGGGTGAAACCCCCTTAAATGGGCTGAACCCCCTGAAAGGGAGCAAGAGCCCCAAAACTGGGATGAGCCCCACTGAAATGGGATTCTCCACCCCAAAAATGCATTGAAACCCCCCTGAGAAATGGGATAGACTCCCTGAAAAACATGATGGGCCCCCCAAAATGGGATGAACCCCCCCCAAACCCATTGCTCCCATTTCCCTCCTGGGGTGTTTTTGTCCCCACAGCTATGAGGTGCAGCTCGAGAGCCGTGTCCGGCGGCGAGGTTTGGGCAAATTTCTCCTCCAGATCCTCCAGTTGGTGGCCAACAGGTGACAACAGGGCTTGTTTTGGGGGCAAAACAGGCGGTTTTGGGGGTGACCACCCCACCCTGAACCCCTATTTCCACATTCCCCCCCCCAGCACCCAGATGAAGAAGGTGATGCTGACAGTCTTCAAGCACAACCATGGCGCGTACCAGTTCTTCCGTGAGGCGCTGCAGTAAGTGCTCCCCAAACACCCCCAATTCCCGGGATTTCACCCCGTTTTCCAGCCCTGGGGACTGTTGGGGGTGGGGGGGGGATGCTGGGGGTGTTGTGGGTCCGACTGTAACACGTTGTTCTCGCACCACTGTCTGCTTGCAGTGCGCTCACAACGTGCCGGGGCCGGGCGACACGGGCAGGCGGGACAGGGGCAGCCCAGAGAGGTGGGTGCTCGGGATCCCCCCCCCTCGGCGCCAGCTCCCAGTGGGATTTGAGCCCCTTTTCCAAGGGTTTTTTACCCCATTTTCCAGAGGGATTTTTGCTCTTTTTCCCAGGGGGTTTTAAACCCATTTTTTGGGGGGGTTGTCTTATTTGTAGGGGGTTTTGCTGCTTTTCCAGGGGGTTTAACTCCTTGCTCAGTATTTTTGAACCCTTTTCCTTGGTGCTTTCCAGGGGGAATTTTGCCCCTTTTCCAGGTGGTTTTATGTAATTTTCCATGTAGTTTTAGCCCGTTTTCCAGAGTTGTATTTTTTTAATCCTTTTCCAGGTGTATTTTAAAGTGTTTGAATTACTTTCTTCATGCTTTGGGGTTTTAACCCCATTTTTCCAGGTTTTTTTTACCCTGTTTTCTAGGTGTTGTGTCCCCCCCCCCCCATTTTTTCACCCTTTTCCCAGGAATTCAGAGGGATTTTAATCTCATTTCTGGGCATTTTTAGTGTGTTTTAACCCCATTTTCCAGGCGTATTTTTACTCTTAACCCCTTTCTGGGTTATTTTTACCCCATTTTCCAGTTGTTTCCCCCTCCCGGGGCTATTTTAATCCCTTTCCCATATATTTTTAGGGATTTTCATCCCTTTTCCATATGTTCCACTCTCCCATTCCCCTCCCCACACCAGCCGGGGGGGGGGGGGGGGGGTCGGGGTGACAGAGGGGGCATGGTCAGGGTGAAGGGGGCGGGGTGAGTGTCTCAAGAGGCGGGGCCTGGGGCGGGGCTAGGGTAACTCCACCCCTTTCCCCCCCCCTCGCAGGTTCGAGGTTGATGCCACCTCTCCCAGCGCCTCCGGTTGCTGCGGGGACGATTCCTCCTATGAGATCCTCAGCCGCTGCACCAAGTATGGGGAGAGCCATCCCCCCCCGGGGCTGGGCACGGGACCTTGCAGCGGCTGCTGCCACTGAGCCCCCCAAATCCCACACTTTCACCCCAAACCCAGCGCCTCACCTCCGAGGAAGCCACCCCATGGACCCGCTGCACCCAATGGGTGACGGGGCACCCCCGTGGGGGCCCCTTTCTGGGGGGGGGTTGGGGGTGGAAAGGGGATTTTACCGATTTGGGGTGGTTTTGGGCCCTCGCAGGAGTCGAGGCCCCTCCCCCCTCCCGTTTTTTGGTTGTTTTTCTGCGTTTTGTTTGTATGTAAGGAATAAAATGGTTCAAAAGCTTCAATTGGGGCGTGGGGGTGGGGCCTGAGCGCAGGAGGCGGCTTGTGATTGGCTCTTCCTGCGGGGGGTCGTGGTCTCCGGGTGGGAGGCGGGCTCTGATTGGGTGTAGGTTTGAGAAGGGGGCGTGGTTTACCTGAAGGAGGCGGGGACAGGCGTATCCTGCCCCGGAAGTGACGTCTGGCAGCCACTTCCGTCGCCATGCCGCTCGCCGCGCACCTCGCCCGCTCCCTGCTGCGCTCCGCGGCCCGGCCCGGCCCGGCCCCGCGCGGCCTCATCTCGGGGCCTCCGGAGGAGCCGCTCGGGACCGGGGTGAGCCGCGGGGCTGGGGGAGGCCGCGCACCACCGGGGCTCGGGGTGACCTTGGGGCGGTGCTGATGCCGCTGTGCCCGCAGGAAACCATCTTTGGGTTCACGGCGATCTTCATCTCCTTCCTGGCGCCCACCGCCTGGATCCTGAGCCACCTCGAGGACTACAAGAAGCGGGAGTGACCCCTCCGCGGACACCTCCTCCTCTTCCCCGCGGGACCAGCGCTCTCCGGGACCAGCCCCCGCCGCGCACGGCGCCCTCCGGCTCCCTCCAGCACCCCAATAAAGCCCGTTCCAACCTGAAACCGCTTGGATACTTCCGGCGTGGGGAGAGGGGTTGGGGGGAGCGGGGACCCCTGTTGTTTGGGGGGTTGGGGGGTGTTGCTAAGGGGCGGGGCCTGTTGCTAGGGGTGGGGCGGCTCTAATCCCTTTCATAGGCACGGCCCGTTGCTAGGCAACCACTCCCGTGAGAGCACTTCCGGGATCCCAACCTATGGAGTTCAACTTCCGGCAGACCTACGGGTCACGTGATAGCCGGAAGAGACGTGGCAGTGACGTCAGCGCGGCCGGTGGATCCCGGTAACGGCGCCAGGCCCCGACCCGAGCCCCGGTGAGCGCGCGGGGAGGGGGAAGGAGGCGGGGCTTAGCGGGGGTGGCCACGCCCCCAGCGGCACTTTGCCGCCTTCTGGTGGAGCGGCGGGGCCGAGGGGGTCCCGGTGCTCACCCCCCCCGTTCCCCGCAGCCGATGAACGCGCGGCGCCGGCACGGCTCCAGGCAGCGGGACCCGGGCGTTTACGTGGGGCCGCCCCAGACACAAACCGTGACCCCCCCGCACACCCCCCCTCTTCCGCCGCCACCGACGGTTCCCGCCGCGCTCCCCCCGCCGGGCCCGGACGTCATGTCGTGTCGCGACAGGACCCACGAGTTCCTGTCCGCTTGTAAATCGCTGCAGGGCCGGCAGGTGAGTGCCTCCCCCCCCATCCGGTTTCGGGGTGTGGGGGTGTGTGTGTTTGTCGACCCCCCGGGTCTGACCCCCCCACCCCCGTTCTCCCCCGCAGGACGGGGCCCAGTCCGGGAGAGCGGCACCGGGGGCCGGGCGGCAGCGCAGCGAGTTCAGCCTCATGGCCAAGTGAGGGGGGGCACCCCATGGCGGGGGGAAAAGGGGAGGGGGGAGACCCCAATGGGGAGAGGGATGGGATGGGGATTCGGGGGGTCTTGGGGACCCCATGGTGGGGTGCAGAGGTGGGGGGGACCCATAGTTTGGGGGGGGGGGGGCAATGGGAAGGGTTAAGAGGCCCTCACATTGAATGGGAATGGTGGGGGTTAAGGGCAGGGGACACATAACAAGGGTGGGAGGTGGATGAGGGGGGATTTGGGGCCCCCCCATCACTGACACCACCCCCCCCCCCCACCCCCAGGCGCATCGGGAAGGACCTGAGCAACACCTTTGCCAAGCTGGAGAAGCTGACGATCCGTGAGTGGGGGGGGGAAGGAACTTGGAGGGGGGCGATCACAAAGTGGGGGTGCCCTGATTCCCCTCCATTTCTTCATTCCCCCCCCCACCAGTGGCCAAGAGGAAATCACTGTTCGATGACAAAGCCGTGGAGATTGAGGAGCTCACCTACATCATCAAACAGGTCTGGGGGGCCCGGGGGTTGGGGTATGGGGGGGGGGTGTATTATGGGATGTTCCTGACCCCCCCCGCCCCCAAAACCCCTTCCATTGCAGGACATCAACAGCCTGAACAAGCAAATCGCGCAGCTGCAGGAGGTGGTGCGGGCGCGGGGGGGGCAGAACGGGCGCCACGTCCAGACCCACTCCAACACCGTGGTGGTGTCACTGCAGGTGGGGACATGGAGCAGGGGAGGATATGGAGGGGGCACATAGGGGCAAATGCATATTCCACATACACACACCCCCCCCGGCTCATTCTTCTCCTTCCCTCCTCAGTCTAAACTGGCTTCCATGTCCAATGACTTCAAGTCGGTGCTGGAGGTGCGGACGGAGGTGAGGCACTGCCCCCCTTTTTCCTTAGATCCCCCCCTTCTCCTTGGGCCCCCCCCTTCTTCTTACATCCCCCTGTTTACCTCCTATCCCCTTGTTCTTCCATCCCCACTTTTGCCCCCCCCCGTTTCTTTCCAACAATTTCTTATCCTGAATTTCCCCCCCATTTCTCCCCCCACCCTCCTGAGTCCCTTTTCCCCCCACTCTTCCCACTTTCCCCCCTTTTCTCCCTCTTTTCTCCCCTTTTCCCTCCGCCATTGCCCCCCAACCTCTTCCTTCCCCCCTTGTCTCCCTCTGACTCCCCCATTGCCCTCCAGTCCCCTCCAGCTGCCTTTTTTTCCTCTCTTTTCCTTCCCCTTCCCCACAACTCCCCACCTGCCCCCCCTTTTCCTCCCCAACATCCCTCTTTCCCCCCCCTTATCCCCCTCATGACTCCTCCTGTGTTACCCAGCCCCTCTTTGCCCCATTCCCCCCCAGAACCTGAAGCAGCAGCGCAGCCGCCGCGAGCATTTCTCCCGTGCCCCTGTGTCCGCGTTGCCCCTCGCTGCCGGCAACATGGGTAAGTCCAGGGAGAGGTTGGGGGGCCGGGAGTGGGACATGGGGGTCTTTACCCCCCACACACCCCATGGACCCCCCCATCTCCCCATAGGCAGCTCCGCGGTGCTGCAGGATGAGTCCCCGCGCGCCGGCTCCGTGGCCATTGAGATGGACGCACGGACGAGCCAGCAGCTCCAACTGATCGATGAGCAGGTGGGGGCATGGACAATAATGGGCCCTGGTGTCATGGGGGGGACAGTGAAATGAGCTTGGAGAATGATGCTCCCGCTGTTGTCCTGCAGGATTCCTACATCCAGAGCCGGGCAGACACGATGCAGAACATCGAATCCACCATCGTGGAGCTGGGCTCCATCTTCCAGCAGTTGGCTCATATGGTGAAGGAGCAAGAGGAGACGATCCAGAGGTGCCAACCCCCGTTTCCCACCTGCTCCGTCCCCATCCATCCTTTCTGTCCATGCCCCCCTTCACTGTGCCCCATCCCATGGCAGGATCGATGCAAGCGTGGAGGACGCGCAGCTGAACGTGGAGGCGGCTCACGGGGAGATCCTCAAGTACTTCCAGTCGGTCACGTCCAACCGGTGGTTGATGATCAAGATCTTCCTCATCCTCATCGTCTTCTTCATCGTCTTTGTTGTTTTCCTGGCCTGAGGATCTTTTTCTTTCCCCTGTCCACCGGTTGGGACAGATGGACTTGATCCGTGCTCTATGGGGCTCGGATATGGACACTGCTGCGGGGATGGGGTCTGCTGGGACCTGCCCAAGTGCCCCCGAGGACCCCCCCGTTGTCCCCCCCAGGCTGTGGGGGGCAGCACCAGCTCCCCACCCTGCAGGTCCCGCAGCCTATGCTGAGGCTGGTCCCTGTTCCCAGCCAGTCATGGTGGCTGCAGACCCCTGCTGGGGGGCCCGGGAATGCTGCCACCCCCTGCCCCCAGAGTGGCTGCAGCCCCCTTTTAAAGCTGTGGGGCACCCTGGAGGGGGGCTGTGGACCCCGGTGGGTCCCCTGGGGTGGGGGGGGGGGGGTGCTGAGGACCTCCATGAAATACTTGGGACCCCCATGGGGAGCTGCAGAACCCCTTAAAACTGTGGGACCCTCGCGGAGAGAGCTGTGGACCCCGGTATGGGGCTGAAGACCCTCCCTTAAACTCTTTGGACCCCCTTAAAACTGTGAGACCCCCCTGTGTGGGGGGCTGTGCACCCCAGTAGGGCCCCTGGGACCCCCCATTAAACCCCCTGGACCCCCTCTGGGGGGTGTTGCAGTCTCCATTAAAGCTGTGGGACCCCATGGAACTGATGGGGTCCCCCTCCCGAGTTTCCGTGTTCTTCCGTGAGCGGGATTCGAACCTATGACGTCAGAATGGTTTGGGGGAGAGGGTGGTGACTGCGCACGCGTGTAGGGAGGCCGAGAGCTTCGGGCGGAAGTGACGAAGCGGGGGCGTGGCCCGGCGGTGAGGCCGCGGCTGCCGGTGGCGGCGATGGCGGAGGAGGCCAAGGGGGGGTTCAGCGGTGAGCGGCGGGAAGGGAACGGGAACGGGAACGGGAACGGGAACGGGAACGAAGGGGAAGGGGAAAGACGCCGGTGGGGGAGCGGGAGTGGGAGCGGGGCTCTGCAGGCCGCGGGGCTTGGAGGCGGCGCTGGGCCCGGGCTGTGGGCCTGGAACGGGCCGGGAGGGGAATGGGGCCATGGGGGTAAGGGAGAGCGGATAGGGTCAGAGGGGGGAGACGGGCGTCAGGGGGACATAAAGGGGGTGAGGGAACGGAGGTCGGGGATAGGGCCTGGAGAGAGGGGATGGGGGTCGGGGGGAGGAGGTTGGGGTCAGGAAGGGGGAATGGGGTCAGAGCGGGGAGACGGGAGTCAGGGGGACATAAAGGGGGTGAGGGGACGGAGGTCGGGGATGGGTCCTGGAGAGAGGAGATGGGGGTCGGGGAGAGGAGGTTGGGGTCAGGAAGGGGGAATGGGGTCAGAGGGGGGAGATGGGCGTCAGGTAAAGGGGGTCTGGGTAAAGGGATAGGGGTTGTGGGGAGGGGAACGGGGCTGGAGGGAGGAGATGGGGAGAGGGGAGTGGGGATCAGGGAGCTGATGGGGAGAGGGGGGCTGGAGAGAGGATAAGTCGCTTGGAGTGGTCCAGGGGAAGTGATGGGAGTTGGAGGAAGGAGATGGGGGTCCGGGGTAATGGGAGTCACGGAGGGGAGATGGGGACGGTTCACAGAGGGGATGGGGGTCAGGGACAGGGGATGGGGGTCAGAAGATGGGGCCCTGCAGAGGGGTCCTGGGGGTCCAAGGCTCAGGGCTTCCCCCCCCGAGCGTGGCTCCCGGTGCCCCCGGCAGAGCACGATGACCGGGTGGGCGGGCGCGTGTTCTCGGGCCGGCGGAAGAAGGGCCGGGGCCCGTTCCGGGGCAAGATGTACAGCGAGGTGACCCCGCGGGCACGGAGCCGCGGCGGCCCCGGCGGGCGCCCGCGCCCCGACGACGACGACGGCGACGTCCCCATGAGCGACGCGCACGACGGCCCCCGCGCCCGATAGTGAGTGCTGAGGGATCCCCCCTTGCTTCCCCGGCGAACCGGGGTAACGGGCTTTGCCACGGGTGCCTTGGCTCCACTCTTCCCTGCGTTCCCAGCTTGCCCTATGGGCCCCGGCCCAACCGCACGGCCAACATCCACATCACGGTCCGGAGGGATCTGCCCGCGCCGGAGCGGAGCAGCGGATCCAGCCGGGAAGGGGGGCGCAGGAACTGGTTCAAAATCACGGTGAGTGGGGATGAGGATGGGGGCACCTGGTTTTCCATGGCACAGGAATGGGATGGGGATGGGGCACCTGGTTTTCCATGGCACAGGAATGTGATGAGATCGGGGGCACCCGGTTTTCCATGGCACAGGAATGGGATGGGGGCACCTGGTTTTCCATGACACAGGAATGTGATGAGATCGGTGGCACCCGGTTTTCCATGGCACAGGAATGCGATGGGGATGGGGGCACCTGGTTTTCCATGGCACAGGAATGGGATGGAGACTGGAATGCTGTTGTAGAAGGGCAAGGGAGCAAATGGTTTTTCCAAAGGCTTGGGGTGAAGGAAAGCAGTCTCGTGTTCCACTAGCAGAGCTTTAGGTGGGATATCGAGAAGAATTTCTACTGGAAATAGGCTGCCAAGGGAAAGGGTTGGGATGTCATCACAGGAGGGATCTGAAAAGTATATAAATTCCTGGAATAGGGACTTAACCCACAGAAAAGGGGAATGACACCTGGAAAACAGGTTAAATCCATTGGGAATCGCAGCTGAACCAGCTATGGGAGACGTTGCCAGTTGAGGCCCAAAAGAATTCCAGGTATTCCTGGAATAAGGATGAGTTATATAACGCAGACATGGTGTGTGTCATGGAATAACCCAGTGGAGAGCACCCTTTCCCTTCGGGACAGTGCTGAAACAATCCGGATCATCCCTCCCGCTCGTTGCCAACTGGAATAGCGCGGTTTAGCCCAGTCTTTCCCAGTTTCTCATGGTCTTTCCTTGCCTGCCACTGGGTTCGTGCCTTTTCCAGATCCCCTATGGCAAGAAGTACGACAAGTCCTGGCTGCTGAGCTCCATCCAGAACCTCTGCAGCGTTCCCTTCACCCCCGTCGAGGTGAGGGGGCCGGGGGGGAGCCCTTCCTTCCCGTTTTGGGGGGATTAGGATGATTTGGAAGCTGAATCCCAACCTTTCCCAGTTCCACTACGACCACAACCGGGCTCAGTTCTACGTGGAGGACGCCACCACCGCCAGCGCCCTCAAGCAGGTCTCCCGCAAGATCACGGACAGGGATAACTACAAGGTGAGAGGCTCCTCCGCGGCTCTGCTTCCCGTGGGAATGCTCCCGGGGCACGGAGCCTGCTCCTTCCCTCAGCAGGGGCCCGGTCGCAGCTCTCCACTGTTGCAGGTGGTGATCGTGATCAACGCCTCGGCACCGCCTCAGTCCCTGCAGAACGAGCTGAAGCCGGAGGAGGTCGAGCAGCTGAAGGTGAGGATGTGGGGAGGGGAAGAGGAAGGGGAAGGGGAAGCACCTGCCTGGTCCTTCCTCTTCACCCTCTTCCTCCCGCTCGCACTGCCCCAGCTGTGCATGAGCAAGAGATACGATGGCTCCCAGCGAGCTCTGGACCTCAAGAGCCTCCGCGGGGACCCAGGTGAGAGGCACCAGTTACCCTGGGGACACCAGGGGCTGGGGCTGTGGGGAGCTGGCTCCCACCCCTCAATTTCTCCCTTTAACCCCTTCAGTTTCCCCCCTAAACCTCTTCACACCCCAGTTTCCCTCCTGATCCCCCCAATTTCTGCCCTCAACTCCAACTTCCCCCCATAAAACCCCCAGTTTCTTCTCTGACCCCCTTAATTTCTTTCTTCACCTTCTGATTTCTCCCTTTACTCCCCTAAATTCCCCCCTCACACTGCACAATTTGCTCTCTGATCCCCTCAATTTCCCCCCACGATTTCCCAATTTCCCCCTCTAAAACCCCCAATTTCCACTCGTATCCCCCCCAACTCCCCCCCTGATCCCCTCATTCCCGTCCCCCCCCCCCAGACCTGGTGGCGCAGAGCATCGACGTGGTGCTGAACCAGCGCAGCTGCATGCTGGTGGTGCTGCGCATCATCGAGGACAACATCCCTGAGGTGAGCCCCTCCTCGGGGAGCCCCCAATCCATTTCCCCCACACACAGTTCCCATTCCCACCCCCCCACATCCCTGTTTGCCCCCCTGCAGCTGCAGTCCCTAAACCTGAGCAGTAACAAGCTCTATCGCCTCGATGACCTTTCCGAGCTGGCGCAGAAAGCGGCCGGGCTCAAGATCCTTGACCTCTCTCGCAACGAGGTGGGTGCCCCCCCTCTTTATGTGTGCCCATCCCCCCCTTTATGTGGGGCCCTTCTTTGTGTGCCCCCCTTTTATGTGTCTTTTCCTTTATGTGCCCCCCATGTCCCAAGTGCCCCCGCTCGTCTGTGTGCCCCCCATCTTTATGTGTGCCCCCATCTCCTCTGTGCCCTGCCTTTTATGTACCCCCATGTCCTGTGTGCCCCCATCTCCTAAGTGCCCCACCTCATCTGTGTGCCCCCATCTTTATGTGTGCCCCCATCTCCTCTGTGCCCTGCCTTTTATGTACCCCCATGTCCTGTGTGCCCCCATCTCCTAAGTGCCCCACCTCGTCTGTGTGCCCCCATCTTTATGTGTGCCCCCATCTCCTGTGTGCCCTGCCTTTTATGTACCCCCATGTCCTGTGTGCCCCCATCTCCTAAGTGCCCCACCTCGTCTGTGTGCCCCCATCTTTATGTGTGCCCCCATCTCCTGTGTGCCCTGCCTTTTATGTACCCCCATGTCCTGTGTGCCCCCATCTCCTAAGTGCCCCACCTCGTCTGTGTGCCCCCATCTTTATGTGTGCCCCCATCTCCTGTGTGCCCTGCCTTTTATGTGCCCCCCTGTCCTGTGTGCCCCCATCTCCTAAGTGCCCTTCCTTGTCTGTGTGCCCCCCATCTTTATGCGTGCTCCCCTTTTTCTGTGCCCGTTTTCCATGTGCTCCCATGCTGTGTGGTTCTTCCTTCATGCTTGCCCCCATGTCCTGTGTGCTCCCCTTCTTTACATGTGCATCTCTCTTCTGTGTTCCCCCAATGTTCTGTGTGACCCCCTCTTTATGTGCCTCCCCCTTGATGTACCTTCACCTCGTCTCTGCCCCCCTTCTGTGTGCCCCTCTCTTTGTGCCCCCTATCTCCTGTGCACCCCCCTCTTTATGTGTGCCCCCATGTTCTGTGTGCTCTCATCTTCTAAGTGCTCCGTCTCCTCTGTGTGCCCCCCTTCTTTATGTGTGCCCCCA